AAAAGCCAAATGAAATGTGAAAGATGATAGGTAGTTATAATTATAATATTTTGTAAGTATAAACCAATTCGAAAAGTAAAAATGAGGAGACGGTCTAGCCCACTCATTTGCCCGCATTCGCAATCATATTGCTATTCCCACTTTTACTCTTAATCCTGCTCTTAACTAAAAACGAACTTCTAATTCTCCCATTGTTGCTTAGGTTCACGCTCACGTTCAGTCATATTCCTAGTCGTACTATTACTTCGCTCCATTTTACTATAATTCACTACAAGATGTTCATTATTTTTCCTCATTAATAAACGATTTCATTTCACTGCTTACTGCACACCATCTCGGTCTTAATATCTATGACATATCTTACTTGGTCTGGTAGTTTTAACCCATGCTGGTGCAATCTATAGAACACTTGAACAGCACCAATCAAGCATTGGCTTATTGCCTCCTCAGCTGAAATAGCCTCCTCTGACCATAATCCGTCTTTTCCAGTCCCAGATTCATCCAGGCTACCACAGTGAGCGCCAGTTGACAACAGACTATTGTCTTTGAGAACTTCTGATGCAGTTGCCGGAGGTGGCCAGCGGAAGTTGCTACTATTTGATAATAGACTCTCATCTCTGGTAGCTGTATAAGTTCGAGTCTCATTTGAGCATGGGTATGATGCTGAATCAATGAGTGGATGCGATGTAGGTGTCAGCAATTGCGCATTTTTGTGCAAATCTTCATCACCCTTCTTTTGCATCTGGTCTAGCTTTGGCTTTTCTTGTGATTTACATATATTTTGTTGATTCATCGGCAAGTTTGATGTACTAATGTTTCTAGATCCAGAGGCAATAATCCCTGCTTCGTAGAAGCTGCGCCACGATGAAATCGAAGCTAGGTAAGCAGGAAGCTGCAAGAACCAGAGGCAATAGGCTGATGCGACAAGGTATTCCGCCCAAGCGTCACCGCCAAGGCGGAGAGCGTGCCTTCCTGCAGTAATGTTAAGTTATTCGTAAATGGGGAAGATGAAACAAAAAAGGAGCAAAGATTGAAAAATTAGTAGTAACGATAAGTGATCATGTTGACCTAGGAATTAAAAGAACCTATGAAAATCCGAAGAAAATAAATTCTAAAAGTTGAGACATAATAAATATGTAAATAATG